CCTGCTGCATGCCATACAATCAATCTGTAGTCTTGGCTGGGGTGGGGGGAACAGTGAAAGAAGCAAGATATATTTTTTTTCCATTCTTCCAGTTACCAAGTTGTATGAGCTCACATGAAGATCATATTATGTCCATACCAGGCTAATACGTATTTGAAGACTGCTAATATCCAGAGGACTTCTATCAGGTTCCACTGACTCATGACCAACATGTTTTAGTTATGATTATTTAACTGTTGATGTGAAATATTAGAAAGTACCCAAGACCCACATATGCAAGGCACTTGACAAGACAGCAATAAGCACTATGCTATGTCAGTGCTGACAAAAATCAAAATCAACCCCCCCTCGCAACTCTATAGATAAAATACTTTCTAAGAATACCTAAAGACAGCATAGTAGTACAGCCAAGATGCTACTTTTCTGGTGCTTATAACTTATTTTATGTTATTTAGTTTCATATTTGAGATAAAGGGAAGAACACATTAGCATATTGAGCTGAAAACAGTGAACAAGGACATTACCACAAGTACACACCACTGCCCTGTCCCTTTGTTACTTTTAAAGTAGTTAAACATTTAAGTTTCTAGGTTATTCTTTGAAGGAAATTCCTGTTCTTGTCTTCATGGAAGGCAAATGCCAAACAAATCTACCAACAAAAATGCTTAAAAAGAGTTAACTATAGAATGTGGGAATAGATTCATCACTGTCCATCTGAGGAATGTAGCTTCATAATGTACTTAAGCAACTCCATAAAGCACTGGTGTAAGTGCCATTTACACACTTAATCTTCTTTATCACAAAAGTGTGGTTTACCTTTTCTATTAACACGAACTACTTCATACAATTCATAACCTAAAACTACAGATGACTTCAACACTAATTCACTGTGCATGCAGAAAGAAAAGACTTTGTCTGCCCAAAGTCATGCAAATGAATTTCTTACTAGACTAAAATCTATTACAGTAAAATCTTAAAATTAAATAGGCATAGAAAAATCACTGGATGAAAATTTATAGTAGCCTAATTATAAGTAACACATGAAATTAGTACGTGCCTCCTTTTTGACTAACTCTAAAGACAAAGTCTTTATGCCCTGTAAATAAAAAGCAACAGTTAAAAATACACTCTGCCTCTAATACAGAGACTATCTAGGGACCCATCTACACAGAAGTACACTTGCTCAGTCAGAAAGGGGAATGGAAATCAAGAACACATGCAGCAAGATCTCCAGTAAGCAAGTGCAAAATGATGTCCAAGGCTAGCTTATTACTGTTCCCTTACAGATTTACCTTAGGAAACATATCTAATTAACCTTTCAACTTTTTAGATACATTTTGCATCAATACTCATAATAGTGATTTACTTGGACTGTTCTGTTTCTACTAAAAAGATTTCATTTCAAAAAGGATTTATGGCATTTTGTTGTGTTCTGATTTCTTCAGTAATTCGAGAAACTAACAGTTTCAAATATGACACAAGTCAGCCATACGGTTTATTTGCTTAATAAAACAACAATTTAGCACCCTTTATTCCATCAAAATGAAAATGTTGGGCAGTATTAAGCAGGACTCTATTTCACCCTATGCATTTTGATGGATTTTTGAAAACTTTTGCCAGAAGTCCTGTACCATCTTGAAAATGGGCTGAGGAAACACTTAGTATTTCCAATGGCAGCTGGACATTTGAAAAGCTTTTGACCCACTTGTATTGATAAGTCTAACACAACACATACTCAAAAAATCCAAAAAAGGCACTACCTGGGTATTTGCAAAAGTACATCAAGAACATTCACAGTTCTTTTTATTTGGAAAACTTTTAATTTGCCCAAAGAGCCTGGAAGGCTGACTTGTTTCAAGTGACAATTCAGTAATGTTGTTTGCCCTCCAGTAAATGAAGGCTAAACTGAGGATCTGGAAGCACTTATCCTGGATTTGTTCCTTTGTGTAGTAAAATCTCATGGCCCAGAACATGAGTGAGCATAGAACCAACAGGCACACTCAAAAGAGGGCTTTTAAAGAGGATCTTTACTCTTTGTATGCTCAAATTGCACCTTGTCTTCATTCTCAAATGGAATGCCACAGAACCAACAAAGG